GGTGCGGTGAAACCTGAATTCACTGTCTTACCCTCAACCAATGCCTTAATAAAACAAATGCATTACTAAAAAAATAATTATCGAAAATCATAAATATAATCTGAACTTGACTTAATATACAAGAAAAATGAACAAAATCAATAATTAGAACCACATGTTAGAATCATATAAAAGTCCTAAGTTAAAATAAATTTAACCATTTTAATTGTCCCTTTCAACATTGTTATGAAAATTATTGGAATTTACTAACCATTTTAGAATAACTACAAAACAAAGCTTTGGTAGTACAAATAACATATTGGATATGAAGTATATTTTGCAACCGAAGAATTAGTAGGATGATTCATAAAAATCAAGAAATACCTCTCTCTGATTCTTGACGGAGAATGAACAATTCGTGCTGATAACGTATTGTAAAACTAAAGCAAAATAAGACAAGAACTGAAGCAATAGAAATAGAAAGACAAGAGATGAGAACTTTTCTTATTATCCCAAGTCTTCAAATATATACAATATGAACCCTTATGTCTCTATTTATAGTGTAACATAGAGCCATACAAAAGGTTAATCATAAACATGACATTAACATGAATATAATGGAGGAGGTTTTGAAATTGAAAGGCTACAAGAATAATGATTATAATGTTGGTGATTATGGAGGTTATGATTATCTTCATAACGGAAGAAAGTAATGGAGATAATGGGTGAGTAACTTCTTGAGTAGTAGACTACCACAATATAATACTTTATAACAAACACAATACTTTTTCATTTCTTATATGTGAAGCAAAAACACATGAAATTTATTAATTTGTTTGATAATAATAATATAGATTATAATATTTATTACATCTTACAAAATTACAAAAACCTTTATCTATTCACATTTTCTACTTAAATGACATATCTCCTCAATTTTTTTATATGATTCTCTTCATTACCTAATACATTTAGTTTTTCCAAAATATAACGACTTTAAATTTTAGTTCAAATTTACAATGTAGAAAGTTCATTATAAAATGTAGTGCTTTCATTATAAAAAAAAAATTCAAAACTCGAACTGTATATATATTTGTTAGATAAATTTTTATCCACATTTTGAACAATACCTAAAACTCATTGAACAGACAGGCACCTATTCTAATCCATATTATGAAAGGACATTTTATCTATTTATTTTAATTTATTTTTACTCTCATCTCTTTTGCTTTCTTGATGACTCAAACTCGTAATTTTCTAGTTGAAAGTTGAGATGCTTATCATCCGAGCAATTCTCTCTGCATTTTATCTATGTCTTTTATCTTTCGAAAATTTTATTCTATTATGTGTGTCTTTTGCCTTTTCAAGAAAACGTTTGGCATTTATTTTGGTTAGGTACTTTTGTAGTTGAAGAGACATGATAGTAGTAAGAAAAATAATTTAGTAAGCCTTACAATATGATTTTAGTTAAAATGCTTTATTGAAATAAAATTTGAAGACGGAAACAAAAATAAAAATCTCACAATTAAATAAAGATATATTATATATAAATAGAAATGTTAGTCATAGAGAAGTATTGTAGTCAAAATGTTAAGACTTCAAGAGAGATTAGACAATAAAACAACCAAAAAGAAAAAATACTCACACACAAAAGTAAGCATACTGTTGCTGTCATTCTATGTATCACAAGTATAGAATTACAATGTTTAAAAAGATGAATATTATTCCTACTTAATATTGATACTTAGCAACCAAAAATGAAAGTGTAACAAATCTTGTTATAATAAAAGAGATCGGCGAAAACTTGTATGTTAAAACGTTAAGGCAAATCATAGAAAAAAAGAAGTAATATATACATTACTTAAAAATTTTAAGTCTTTCACCCTCACAAATTCGCATTTGGTCGACATCAACACGTACTTAACCGATAGCTAGATACTCTTCTGCTTTTGCTCTTCTTTTTTTCACCAATAAATGTGTATCCTGCCTTAACATAAAACAAATCAAATTAAAATCAACTACCTAAAGAAAAAGGAAAATGAATTAAAAAATTTGGTACTATAAATGTTACATAAAAAAATGCAATGAAAATGTTAAAAGTTGTACCTCAGATTTTTTTCACAATTAAGCAAAAAAAAGTAGTAATATAATTTGTATAACATTGAAGATACCCAATGGTTAAAATACAGTAGTAGATGATATGCCATTTAAAAAAAGTAATTATTTAAAAAAATTGATTTTTTTTATAACAATTTTCAACGTGGCATGTTTAAGACCATAATATTAAAGGATAAAAATGTACATTTGGCATAACTTTAATTTAGGATAATCAAAATTCTTCTTTATTTTCTTAAACTCAGTCAAGTTAAACTAGATTATTCTTTATGAAAAGAAGAAATATTATTTATGCTATAATAGGGAATAAATGAAAATTAATTAGTTTAGTAAATAGGATGTCGTTTGGAATTTTTCATGCGAAGGTGAAGGGCTGCATTAATTAACCGATACTTTTTTCTTTAATGACATATAAATTGTTAAATATTAAGTTAGATTAAGGCCCGTTTGGATGGGTTTATTAAAAGCAGCTTTAAAAAAATACTTTTGAAAGTGCTGAAACTTATTTTTAAAATAAGCAGTTATGCGTTTGGATAAAAGTGATGAAGTTAAAAAAAGTTGTTGATGTGTTTGGCAAATAAGTGCTGATAAACAGCTTTTTAAATCAAAATGTCTGAAATACCCTTAAAAGCTATTAACATAATAAAAGTTAATTAATTTATATTTTACAGTCATAAATAATTATATATTCTTATCATTCACATATTT